GCACATCACTCTAAATCACTGGGTATATTATTAACATAATACAACGGCTAAAGGCGGTTAAATAAAAAGAGTTGTGCTTAGTCATAACCATATTTGAAACGAATTTTACAATCGTATAGTCATCAACTTCTGTAAAACTATCACTCAACATGCGTCGACATATAAAAAGAATGTCTTTATTACAATGAGTAACATATAGTTAGCGCTTTGTTATCATATAGTAACATAATTTACATGCGAGTAAAAGGAACTTACTCTATCGATTTATTGCACTAGAAACTCTCTTCTCCTAAATTTCTTAATGGTACGGACTCGTTCAATATTAAATATATGAACAGAACAATCAGTACAATAAAATATACCAACAAATTTGAATGGACAATGTGCAACCTAATTCTTCTCAATATCACTTATAATGGACGAGTAATACGGGAATTGGTATACCAGGAGAAATATATCGAACTGATGGTAATGACATGGAAATCGATCCAATATCGATCGATTAGCGGCATTAGTCGATATATGGACTTAGTACTGAAAATGGAACGAAAACGAGGCAAACCATGATGGAAGTGATCTCTATGTGTACCTGGAAACGTAATTTGGAGCACTAGAAAATCAACCGCTACCTCTAAATTTGAGTTGGCGCCTCCCGACAATACCAGGAAATAGTTTTCCGGTAAGTTTTCAAGCTTACATGTGGATGTATTTTCTCAATGGGCGACCATACAATCTACAATTACAGTTAGTCTAACAATGATATTGCAAGAGAATAAGAACAACGCTTTGAGAAAATCTCTTCAAAAATAAATATGCATGTATACAACAATAAAAATCATCATGTGAAACCTGGAAGACATTAACTGAATTTGCCCGCTATACAACGCACAAACTAATGAAAATTACGGGGGCAGTAGTCGGTGTTACCGAAGATAGAACTTGCCGACATGTCACCATGTCATGTTGGGGTCAAACCACCGGACCAAGATGAATGAATAATAGAGCAAGACGTGGAGATGGTTATGAAATGGATGTACACACAAAGTATGGGTGAGCTGAGTATGAGGGACATAGCTTAAGTGATCTGTTATTTGTGCTTAGAGGCGGGCGTCGAGCAACTGGATGAAGATGTAGGTGTCTGGAAAAGGTCGGGTCGCCGTTGGTGCTCGATGACACCTGGACCACCCAGAGGCGGTTGCCACACCTCGTAACCAAGTTTCATCAACTCAGTGCTGATCATGTCCAATAACGTTTGTGGTGTGTCTGAATACATTCAATTCAATGTTAAAAAGACACAAATGATTTTATTTGACCGCCACTGCTGTTATGATGGTGCAATAAACCCAATCGTGTTGAGCGCTGTGCAAAAAGGTCCACGTCAGCCGGGATTCGGGCCCAGATCTCACTTTTTCCGGGAGCGTATGCTAACCGTTGCACCACCAACGCTCGTTTTTCACAGCACTCTTTCTACGCTACAACGCGTTATCTGTCAACAGCCAACCGTCTACGGTCTGGTGGGGTAGTCGTCATTGACATTGAGCCCACTTGTGTTGACAGATATTGGGTATTAATAATCAATCAGAAATGATTTTATTTGACCACCACTTGCGGTGTTATGATGGTATAATAAACCCAATAGTGCAGAGTGCTCTGCGAAAACGTTTGCGTCAGCCGGGATTCGAACCCAGATCTCACTTTATCCGGGAGCGTATGCTAACCGCTGCACCACCAACGCTCGTTTTTCACAGCACTCCTTCTACGCTACACCGTGCTGGAGTGAGATCTGGGTTCGAATCCCGGCTGATGCAAACGTTTTTGCATAGCACTCTACACAATCAAGTATAAAGAGAACACACAAGGAAAATGCGCAATAAGTACAATTAGTAAGATAAACATTTCAATGATATGAAAATTTATCACAGATGTTCATGAACATTTCAGAAAAAAACCAGGTGTTTCTTTTGCGCTAAATATTTATTCTCAAGAATGTGATGACTTAATGCTATCAAAATCCGTGATAAGGATATATGATGGGTCCCACCAATGCCCTGTTTCTTCTTTCGTACTTTTACCATCTCTTTAAAAAACGCATTTGTTGGTAGGAACTTGTCCCGACTCACTGTTAACTCGAATGAAATTCGTTGACTGACCTGGCTTAAGAAATGCAAATACAGAACCGCCACCACCAGCACCAGTCATCTTTGGATGGATACCATATCTGGCGAGTGTGGTACAGATTTGATCGATTTTCGGATGACCAACACCTAGTCCAATAAGCAGCTGATTGTTTATTCGACATAGGTCCTGAACAAAAAGAAAGGCAGTTCTAGATTTTGAAAAAAAATAAAGGCAGATCTATGAAGGAAAAACTTAACATTATGTTGCTTTGCATGAGAGCTACACGACATTTCCATAGAAAACAAGCACAGACTTACAGCGCCTCGTTTCAGAAAAACAGACAATTTTATCAAACAAATACCCTATGGCTCTTAAAGAACATTTGCTCATAAGAATTTTCTAAGCAGACGTAGTTCATCCTTCTTTTGCTGCATTGGGAGCAGGGAAAAGACTGATCGAAATTCGGCAAAGCATAAATAAGCTTGAGCAATTTCAACGCACTGGGCACTCCAGGTTAGTAGCGACGATGAATTCACGAGACAATTCGGGAACTACATCATCAGTACGAGATATCAAAGCTCGACGACAAAACGACATTGCATGTGTATTATTCACTTACATTAAGTTTGCTGAACGTGTCGATAAGTTCGCCCTTTTCCGACGACGTGGAGACGGCAGATACCGAACTTCCACGCTTGCCACCAGCCACGTACGACGAGAATGTTGAAGAACGCACACTGCCACCACGAGTCGGCTGAAAACACAGAGCGACACACTTCACAACACAACCAACATAAAGCACAATGTATAATTTAGAAAAAGAGTGGTATGGAAACAAAAAATGAGAAGATAAGGCAGAATAAGAGAGTGGGGAGAAGATGAGGGAGAGAGAGAGAGAGAGGGAAAGCAACAAGAAGATAAGATTGAAAATGAAGGTGTTTGGGCTCAGAAACGATCAGCTTCGCCTATCATATCGGCACATGCGAATAGTTGTCGAAATTTCTTGAGTCAAGAATACGCAATGCCACAACGGATAGACGTATTAATCATATATCCCGCACATCTCTAAAAAAAGAATTTACTAGGTCGAGGAAAAAGTTACTTAACAGCCGCAAAAAAATTCAGATTTTAAGTTTGTTTCACATAGTATCGGTTATCGGGGTGTCGTGGCCGAGTGATTGTGATGTTGATCACGGCGCGCGTAGAGCCGAACTCGATCCCCCACTTCTCTCCGGCGGTCAACAGCAACGTCCTGGAACGCCACAGTAAGGCTATCCTCGAGATTGCAAGGAGACTCGTTCAACCAGTAATCTAGGCCGTTCAAGAAGAAGACGAGAAACGACTAGAATGCTAGAAGTACTGGGATCCGCACAGTGAAAAAAAACACTGTGATGACGGATCAAATAAAGCGCTTAAAAAAGAAAAGTATCGGTTATCATCAATTCATGGGAATATTTTAAGAAAAATAAGAAACTTCCAAGGTAACGCTAGTTATAGTGCATGAAATTTCAATTTACTCTTCGAATATCAAATGACGACCACGGCCAAAATTAACATTCGTGTATTGATACGCTATTGCTGGAAGCGACAACTTTCGACAAGCGATGCTGCGAAAGCGATCCGTGGTGCCAAAGGTGAAGGAACTGTGAGCCATGAGACTGTCAAAGTGATACAAACGATTTGAAAGTGGTGATCTCTTTCTCGAAAAGCAACCCTGTTCCGGCCGGCCATTGGAAATGGACGATCGAAATCTGCAAGCAGCTTCTGCGTTTCGTTTGGTGAATTCTTAAGGTGTGTTGCAATCTGAAATTGTTCCATATGGACGCGCCATCAATACCGAACACTACTGCGAGCAGCTGGACTCAGCCGACGATGGGCCGAAGAGAAAATACCCGACACTAATTCGTCGAAAGCACGTGGTGTTTCAGCAAGACAATGACCAGACTTCACACCGTAAAAGAGACTAAGGAAAAGTTTGATAATTGAAGGAAGTCGATGTGTTTGCCGCACCCAGCCTACACCCCACATGATACGCAACCCGCTTATGGTCCGATTTCCGTCGCAATAGAAAATTTCTTGCATGAACGCCGATTCGAGGCATCTGATCAAGTTGGAGAGGGATGTCAGGAGTTTTTTGATTTGAAACCCAAGAAGTGGCAATTTCGAGCAGATCCGGAACTTGCAGGTCGTTGGCAGAATATTGCGGATTATGATGGTCTTCACTTTAAAGAACAATTATTGTTGCTTTTGATTGAATTTATGTCCGAACTTTGAATTTTAGGTGGGTTTTGAAGAACTTTTTTTAGCCTGATGGTATAAAAGATCAAGAGTTTGGTTTCGGTCAATGATTAAGGAATACAGACAACACGAAAAATTTAAGTCAGTGATTAGCCCTTTGAGAGCCGCGCGAGTATCGCGTCTCGGAGCGAGTTTGTACTGGCGCAGAGCGCAATGGGATTAAAGGATTTTATTAGATAAATCTCGTTTCTTATAGAACATTATCACTATCAAATGACGGATTATGACAGAAGAAATTTCTATAAAGGCTTTTCTACTACAAAAAACGCTCACGAGTCAAAAAATCCTATTTTTCAACAGAAAAACCACATCTCTTGCGAAAAAGAAACATATTACCAGATGTTACATAACATATGTTTTTTTTCTAACTTATGTTTCCGTATTCATTCAATATCTTGAGAAGTGCCCGCTTTCAAAACTAGGCTTGATTTCTTGAAAGACTGTCATAGTACGTTCCACTAACGGGAAGAAGATTAAGTTTTTGTCTGATTAAACAAAATTCTTTTTGCTTTTATTTGATCAACTTTAGCGGTAGTATGATGTCATAATATATCCAGTGATGAAGAATAGGTGCGCAAAACATTTGCGTCAAGCGGGACTTGAACCCGCATTTCACCCATCCGGAAGCGCGTGCTTTATCCCTTGCACCACTGACGTCTGTTTTCACATGACACTTTTCACCGTACAAGGTAACTGCCAGCAACCAACCGTCAACGGTTTGGCGCTTGTAGCCGCTATCGATATTGAACCCAGCCACGACATCATCAATACCCAATATCCGTCAGCGTGAATAGGTTCAATGTCGATAGCGACTACTCGGGCCAAACCGTTGACGGTTGGAAGCTGACAGATAGATGTCCTGTAGCGTAAAAATAGTCGTGTTAAAACAGGTGTCCGTGGTGCAACGGATAGAGCGCGCGTCTTCGGACTGGGTAAAATGCGGGTTCAAGTCCCGTCTGACGCAATGTTTTGCATATCACTTTACATCACTAGGGATATTAAATTTTAATGTTTGAAGTGTTTTTCCATCTTCACAGTAGATTTTTGATATTATAAAGTGAAAGTTTGACTCTATGCTACCTTTATCACTACAAAAAAAATTATGTTTGACAAACGTTTATAAACGTATTTTAATAAAAGTACGCGCATGTATCCTAAATATCGCTCCTTTTTATAATGAATTTTGCGGAATGCAGTCTCATTTTGTGCTGCGCTCGTATATCTCACCTTTTTTGACCGATTAGAGTCTTTTAACAAAACTATTATCAGTCACGCAATACCTAGAGAAGGCAGAATTTAGTATTGACCAATTGATCGATTGATGGATTACTGAATCCTGCACTCGAGGCTCACTAAGCCTTCCATACTTCAGGGGATGATGAATTGGTACCGCCTTTGTCTAAGAGGGTAGCAGCACTGGCTTAATATATCGCTAAGTCACCGAGAGTCATTGTAAAGGTTGAATCTGAATTCAATCAACTCTAACGATGCTAGATGAAGACGAATGCATGGCGTATCCCTCAGAGATTATCAAGGCCAAGGGCTTTGAAGTTTTTAGATCCCTCTGGTGATGATAATAAACTAAATTTTATTGTGTTGACAACACGCTTCCTCCAAAAGTCGATCGCGCCAACTGCCGCGTAAACAATTGACGCGACGCTGTTAACACCGGCATTACCCAATGGGTTATAGGCGTAACACTACCTGTTCGATCAAGCTACATCTGTCAGAAAGTAACACAAGATGAATAGGTGGGAATGGTTGAGACGACGATGAATGAATGAGAATGGTTGAAACGCCTCATTATTTGAAGACACGCTGGTCATGAGTCATAGAAGAGCAACCGTTTCATAAGACTGAGTGTAAGAAGTATTGAAGGGCATATGATTTCGTTGTTGAAGCTAGCAATATTCAGGTCTAAAAATTCATAAGGATTGCGGAACCATAAAACTCTTCAAACAAGCCCTACAGTCAAAACCACTTTCCTTCAGTTTTGAATCTTAAACTTTGGGTGAGGCAGGGCCCATTTTGTACCGTGTCGCGCGGCGTAGCGTCTTAGAGCGAATTTGTATTGGCGCGCCACAATGGAATTGAGGAAACATTGGTATATTTAGTACTTATGAGACATTATTATTATTATAGATGATACAACATTACTCTAGAGACTTCTATAAGATGTTTTTAGTAATAAGAACACAAATGGGTCAAAAAATTCCTTATGGTTCAACAAGAAAACCACGCCGCAATAAAAAGGAAAAAAAATGTTTTCAACTATTCATGAACATTTCTTTCCTGTTTATGTCGCTCAGTCGTCCTAGACGTCCTAACTTTTCAAAACAAATTTTACTGAACAGAGCTTGTCTACTGGACTAATAGTGCATCAAGTAGAGATTTTAGTACTAGGACCGGTTTTTGGGAAAGTCTCCACAGTACGTAATCTGATAACATATCTCGAGCCTTTCATGAAGTCTGTTACGGCACTTATAAGTGGTAAAAAAAAGTAAAGGTATGATTCATTTTACCTACACAATACGCTATAACAACTGAAAGGACGATTACGTCTCGCTTTTGGACTCGATAACTCCTTGTTTGAACTTCAGAATGGCTTTTTGATACCTAACAAACAAAAATTTTGATTATAGATTCACTTTGTCGCAATGAAAGGACAAAATATCATTGGAAGCTTCCTATGAATGTAATTTTATATGAACGCTCAGTTGTTCTAAAAATTCCTACTTTTCAATATGAATTCTATGGAATACATTAGCAACCTGTGGAATGTGCTCGTATATCCGCCCTTTTCTTTGCCAGAAAGAAGTTTTTATCAAGATCATTAGTAAACATTTGAAAGCCTGAAAAATGGACATTATAGCATTAGGATTTATTTCTAGAAAGGCCGTTCAACGCAAATTAGTAATGAGGAGAAAAATATGCCTCGACTGTGAGATAGCTAGCCAGCTTTTCAAACTCCACAGAGATTTTGTTGGCAGTTATTATATTTGACGCTTCTGACATGAAACTTCTTAGTATAAATGGGAGATGACATCCGGTAGAAAATTTTAGGCAGAACAGGTGATCTCTCATGCACTGAAGGACCTACAAAATCAGCTACACGTAGTACCATTGAAGTTTTTGGAGAAGTGGGAATTGAATGAGGTACAAGGAATCATCTCGAGAGTATAATAAACTACAAAAAAATGCATAGGGTCCGTAAAAACAGTGCGTGTAGCAAGTGAAAGATGTTCCAGAGATGAATGATGTTCATGATAAAGCGTAATTCGATACATAAAATATAACTTACTCATAAAACGAGAGAACAAAGTTTCTCCTATAACTGTGTCAAGATCCCAAGTCCCAAATCCAAGAGTACTAATGACCGAAAAATTGTTAAAAGCTGTCGAGGAAGTGACATCACATGCGTGTACAGTATCATTTTTGACAAACAACTCATTCGTTTCGAGTGTTATCTTAAGACCACAGCTCAAATTTCAATATGCCAAAGAATCATTTTTGAGCCACGCATGTCATGTGGTCTGTTAAAGATGGGCTAACTTATAGAGCCCGATACACGTGCTTCGATCTTACGATCTCGTCAATCGGGCAGTTACTCATTCTCGTCATTTGTTAATCTCTGTGAGTGCCTCTTCCCCACACTAAGAGTTAGTAACGACGAACGTTTCACACTCTACATAGAGTGGGGAAGGGGCACCCACAGAGATTAGCAAAAGACGAGAATGGTTAACTGCCCGACTGACGAGATCGTAAGATCGAAACACGTGTATCGGGCTCTACAAGTTGGCTCCCAAATCACATGATATGCGTGGCTCAAAAACGATTCTTCGGCATATGGAAACAATTCAGTGTTGTAATGTTATTAGCATTATTCTATCACTAATGACCTTGAAGATTCCTTATTGATGTTCTATCATTTCTTGATGATGAAATCCCTTTGAAGACAATAAAACTAAATTCCGCTGCAAAATTACAGCACTGTTACGACAACGCGCCCCTTTCGCAGGATGATGGCGCCGCCTAGCGCGCGAAAACTCAACACTACGACGCCTGTCGTGAACGACTGTCCTTTAGGTGTCAGAAAAATTATGAAATATGGTGTTTTTGACGTTGTACTTAATGCAAACATTGGAACAACGAAGATATCACGATAAATGTTTCGCCCTTCTTCCCTTTTCATAAGTCTACAAAGTTCTCTATATACACATGTACCTCGTTCACTTCTTGAAAGTACCGAAAAATTAGTTATATTCAACATATTGACAACGAAACCCCGTTTATAAAAACCATACGCTCTCCGATGGACCGATTTTGCTGCACAAAGGCTTTTACTTGAGTGTTTGTAATCAACTGACAGCCTGACTCAGCATGTGATTCCACAGAAAATGTATTCCTTTTTTTGGTGACGAGGTTTGTTGCAAATACGAAGTGTTAAATTACTAAGGAAGCAGCATCCCCTATGCCAGTTAGTGCTTCAAATCTAGATTACACAAGCTGTCGAGTGTTCACAGCGAATGGAGAAAAAACTGTGCACCAAAAGAAACTGCTTCAAAAAGTGAGGCGTCTCTATAGAGACCTCTCGTTCTTCTGAGCGCTATAGAACTTCATCACAGCAACCGTAAGCCATCTTTTGCATATGATTTTGCAGTGGAATACGTTTACGGTATGCACAAGTATATATATGTATACATACATGTATATAAATGTATATATACATATAAGTATGTATATCCGGGGACGCATGCTCTAACGCATGTGGCTCCAGCAGTTTCGCCTATGTATTCAACACCACATGTTTTGCAAAAGGATCAGGCATATTGTAACCAAGCTCATAAAGTCTCCGTCTAATCAGTAGGACATATCATAAAGTTCCTTACTTTACATAAACGATCGTACAAGCGATTCCGAACCAATTGGCGACTTATCGTGTTAGATAGAATTTTTACAATTTAAACAGAGTTACCCAGCTTTTTTTGGGGCGTCTTTAGAACGATGCACTACTTCTTTTGTTATAAAGGATACTTTCGAAATTATTTTCTCATTTGGGTTTGACGTACTACTTTCTAACTATAAAGTCTACTTCTCCTGTCCACCCTAATGCTAGTCCTTTCGGTACCGGCGTTGGTGGGAAGCGGTCCGCGTTGATCACTCGCGCAGCAGTGTGAACGATCGATCTGCAGATGTTGCGTGTTTTCCTTTCCTCGAAACGCGACGCCACCAGTACAGTCGTTGAGCAAGACGCAACATCGCGCGCGCTGGTACAGGGTGTACCAAGCGCTACCGAGAGGGTTAGTGGCTGTTTTTCCGTAGCCAAATAAGATGGCTACTTCTCGTACCAAGCATAGTGGCTCCTTCCTCTCTTCTACTCCTGTGTAAACACTTTGAGCTTATCAGTACACGTTTTGAACAACGGTTTTTCCCTGTGTGGGGATGAGAAGGGGAGCACTGTACTAAAATGTTATATTGCTTGGCCTTTGATACCATCATTTATCGTCAGATTTGGGTCCAAGTTTTCCACTTGCTCAACCCATTTCTAAAACAATCCTCTGCAGTATCATATGTAGTTTACACGAAGTTCATGGTCAGCTCCGCTACAATGCGAAGCTAGAAAGGCTAGATACGAAACAACACAAATGGGCTTACCA